CGCACCTCTGGGATTGCAGTGCAGTTTCCTGCCACTAGGCCACCAGAGCTCGCCGCAGTCTTGTATTTTATACAATCATTCATATACATTCTATCTTATATTTTTTTATACTAATTTATTTTAAAAAATCAAATACATTCTTTTTCACTCCAGATTTTTCCCATTTCCCTCACCCTCTGCCCATCAAACTGAACGACCCCATGATTAATACCTCCTTTCAGCACATCCTCACCCACCTACTTCCACTCCCCACCCCCCGCCCCTTACATCCTCATACTCATTCTACAATAGTGATTTTATACAGTATTTGTCCTTGTGGGACTGAGTTAGTTCAATCAGCGTAATTCTCTTTTGTCCCTCTCAAGTGAGGTCATAATTTTATACTGGTTTACATACAAAGTTCATGTTGTTGTTGTTGATTGCCATCAAGTCCAGCATGACTCATAGTGAACCTACGAACATAAGACCTGAAGTCTTTCTATAACTATTGTCGTTTCTCCAAGTTCATAGACTTTCCAGAGGCATGTTGTCTAGGAAGTGGATGCCACTCCTGCTTCCAAAACTGTCTTAAATGGGGAGCTCTACCAAATACACATTGCTTTTCACACTGGATCTTTTCCCTCTTCTTTACTCATCTCTCCATCCACCCATCAAATTGTGCGACCTTATGTTTAAGCCTCCCTCTTCGCTCCTCGGATCCTCATTCATGCTCTACAATAATGACCCTATACAGGTAATGATTTTATAAATTACTATCCAACATGGGAGAGACTGGAGAGCATTATGCCAAGTGAACTAACTCAAGCTCATAAAGACAAATACTGCATAGGACCAGTATTGATATACTCTTTCTGATGGTAAACACCACATCATTCCTTCTCAATATGTCATTTCCAGAATAGTAGATCCTGTGATTGATTGAAACAACATGTCCAAAGTATGTCAGACAAAGCCCCAGAATCCTTGCCTCCACGGAGTAGCCTGGTTTAACCCTCTCTAGGATGAATCTTTTTGTTTTCTTGGCAGGCCATGGTACATTCAATATGCTTCTCCAGCACCACAGCTCAAAGGCGTCAATTCTCCTTCTATCCTCCCTAGTCATTGTCCACTAACTCTCTGATGCATAACAAGTGATTGCAAAAACCATGGCCTGTATCAGGCACACCTTAGTCTCCAGAGAGACACCGTTGCTCTTGAAT